TCAAAGTTTAATATTTAAATTAAAATCATATTTTAACGAAAATATAAAAATCGTCATTTTTGAATAAAATTTTACTTTGGGTCAAAATTAAAATTATGGGTCGAACCCAATTAAAAATGATTTTAAAACCATTTCAAAATTCAAATTCAAAATCATTTTGAAAACTTTGAAATTTGACCCATTCACAAATTATCAATAAGGCCCTCGAGATTTGAAAATTTGCACAACAGCACTTTATTCAAAATTTGCACAATAACCCCTTATCCTGTAATTGCAGAACAGGTCCCTATTATTTCAATAATTGTACTGTAGTCCTTCATTTTAAACTTACAACCAGACCCTTATATCATATTGCAGCAAGGGGCATGCAATTTTCCAAATTTCAGCTGAACCCCCCACCTCCGTTCACCCAAAATGACTGTAAACCCTAGAAATAAATTTTTTTTTTGTTCTCCAACACGACGCCGCCCCACGGGAAGGCAAGACCTGCCACCTTATGGCGGCGGGTCTTGCAACCCAAATCAGCAGCGGCTGTGCTGCATGCTACACCGTGCCCCGTAGGCGCCGTTGCAGACTGTAGTGGAGCATGCCGCCAATCCCATTTTTTTCGTATCTGATTTCAAAAATATAAAATTAAATTTTCACTTAATTACTAGAAACAAGAAAAATAATAACAATCAACGTTTGACTGTTCAATAACACAAATCAATTTCTAACAAACACAAAGGAGACTCTGATACCACTGTTGGAATCTACTTAACATGCACGACGGAAAATTAAAATATATTTCGATTCTCACCAAGAATTGCCTTTGTGTTTAGATAGAAATTGTAATAAGATTGTACATTTTTCAGATTTGCAAACTTCTTTACTATTCTTTTCGTTCCAATAATCTTGATTCACCACCCACAGCTGTCCAATTATCCAGCCTCCAAAAGTGATCCACATAGAGAACAAGATTGCGGCTGCTAGGGTTTTCTCCTCTTGTGTTAGCAAGAATAATTATGAGAAAAACTTACGGATTGAAAACCCTAGCCATGTACCCTGGCCATGTATTTATATAAGTCCAAATGAGCCTGATATGATCCGGTCAAATATTTAATTAAATCTGGTCCGTGAATTAATTAATCCAATTAATTAATTCGGACATATAAATAAACAACCAAATTAATTAATTTTATTAAATGATTGTTAAATTAATTAATTTACAAATTACAATTTTCCAATTCTCTTTTGTGTGCGACCCATCAGGTTCCCGATCATGATACCTAACGACGTGAAATATTATTTTGATCTAATCAAAATTAATAAATTAAAATACTCTTTTAATTTATCATCAATTCACACTCACCGTCCTAAATTGACATCCAGCAATGTGTCAGGGCAATACATGTGGCGGAAAATGTCACGTGGTATGATAAAACCAAACTCGTTCGTTTACCGTGAAATTATAATCCCTTCGTCAATATGATCCGATCAATTACGAGATATGGAAGTGTGTCGATCTTGATTATCGCTCATATCTTTCACTCCACTATTAAGTCAATATAAGTCGAAAACTTCTTTTCGACTTATGAGTACACATTGGCCAAAGATTTCGTTATCGACTTAATTGAATGAAACGCAGATCATAATCTCTTACTATCTAAGAGTGACGAATCCTTTATTGGTCAATCACAATCTTCATACGATTCTTGACGTACCCGAACGATGTCATATTAGCTAGCGGCCTTTTGCAGAGCAACATCCAACACCACCAAAGTATGACTGTCCTCATATAAGGTACCATGACGACTCAAGTGAAAGGACCAATTTCACTACCGAACGTTAGAGATTAACCACTGACACTCAGATAGTTATCCATGAAAATCTCTCGACGGGTCTCCAATGTTTTGTTCTATAACAAAATATTCACATGTTTATTTAAGTGTCACCACACTTTAACTTGTGAGATCAGTTACTTACTTCATAAGTAAGAAATGCCACACGTGATGGTCTATCCGTAATAACGATATTTGTGTCTCGTTATTACTTACGACCACGGACGATTTAAGATTCAATCAGATGTAATTTGTATCTCACAATCACAACTCCTTGTGATTAACAAATTACGAAGATTTAAATTTACGGACTCTATTATTTATTTAATTGTCTATTAATTAAGTAATAGATCTGTCATTAAATTACATTAATTATATATCAAAAGTATTTATGTTTAAAATTGATTGAACTTAGTGCATAATACTTACAAAATCATACTTACATAGGGAAATAATTTAAATTAAATTATTAGTTCATGAGTAACTACAAGTTTACTGGTTGAAAATGAGGGTTGCGAGGATATTTTAGTAGCTCAAGCACCTCAATTGAAAATGAAAACCTTTTTTTCTCCTATTAGCTTGAAAATGTCTTGGACTTTTGAGATTTCAATATTGAAATTGCAACTTTTGAAGTCCAAAGACCAATTACTCATTGATATAAAATATAACTGACTTTACTGAAACAAAATGAAGTTTAGTGACTCAATTCAATATGAGTTTAGTAACGTAAATAATTGAATCCATGAGTTATTGAGTTATATAAACATTTGTCTTGCTCATAATTCTAAGTTATTTATCCACATATTTTGAGAAGCTCACAAATACAACATTTTTGTCCATCACTCATTTTGATATATTTATAATTTGAATTGTTTATAAATGCGTACCAAACAAACTGTGATATTGATTCAAAGATACACTATTCACAAATTGACATGAGAAATGAACTAATCTTCACATGATGAATGACACTTTTCATCGTTGGCTAAAGTTTAACTAACGAAACAAAAACTAATTATAAATTAAATGATAATGAGTTAAATTCGAGATGAAACAAATTAAAAAGGACTTATTATGAAAGTCTAAAATACATATGAGAAATATGGGTTAAGTTTAATATTTTCGTAATATCTCAATAAAAAAATATTAAAAATAAGGTAAAAGAATAGATGAAAGTCCATCTCACAACTTTTGATGTGTGTACACCAGATCGATACCAAAACTACAAATTTCAGTTAATAAATTATAGTTTATGCTCACTAAACTGAACCCTTGTTTGACCCTATTCTTGTCCAAAAAATGCATTTTTGAATAGTGTATTGATGAAAAATATACTGTTAAAAAATAAATATAAGTTTTGAATTTGCGTGTAATAATATTTTATTGAAAATGTACAGTTGAAGTAGTGTCAAATTACTGTTGAAAAATGTATTTTGATAGAAAAAGTGGGGCTCAAACAAATGCTAATATTGAATTCAGTTGAGTACTCATTAAACTTCTTTTTCGACCAAAATTTATCGAGTTAATTGTTTCAATGCTCACTAAATTTGGGCAGTAGTCTTTAATTGTCACTGCACTTGGATTTATCAAATTTTGGTCACTAAACTTTTCAAAATGTCCGATGCTATTCATTGGAATCACTTTCGTTTTGCGTCTCCACCGGAATAGTTGATCCGACATACGATTTTCATATGTAGCACACCATCGCTGTTTGAATGTCAATCATGGAGGAGGAAAAGTCTACGTAAGTAAGGCATTTTTAATTGCTCACTATACTTTGATAGATACTTTTGATTGCTCATTATACTTTAAACTGGTCGAATATTGACACAAAACTTCTTAAAGCGACACTGGCTTCAAGGTTGCAGATTTCATGGCAAATTGTAAATGAGACGTTAATTCTAAAGCATACACACCTTTATTTAAATACCACCATCTACGATGGAAACCCTAGCAAATGGAAGAATCATTGCAAGCAATTTAGAAACTATGCATCCAAATTCATTCATTGCATATTCAATATTTAAAATATGTTTGTCCGCATTATGCATTTGACATATGCACTAGCCAAAATAACATCCCCAAAAAATCCTTTCATTATCAAATACTTACGTTCAAAAACATTTGCATCAACAATAAAATCTAGTAATTATATAAATGCGGCAACATCGATAAGGGGTTTTGGCCAAAATAACCAAAGTTTGCTTTTGTTTTATTTAAGCTCTATTTGATTACAAAGGTGGAAAAGGTAAACTAATTTCATGTAAGTTGTAAAAGAAAAACCCACCAAAATCATAAGAATGCATTTTCCACTCAATTGGCCCAAAAACATGCTTTAAGTGTATATACTTTGAAATTCGAACTTCATTTTCACTTTCGTATCAAACAACCAAAGTAGAAAACAAAATTTTCGGATGTGACATTTTCCCATGGAATTGAAGCCAATCAAACGGACCTTTACATAAATGAACAATGATATTATTTAAAATAAAATCTGACGTAGGGCAAGATAGTGATTATTTTGTAGGCTAGTTACTACAGATGATTCACAAAAGAAATACGAATGAAACGCCCAAACAACAGAGAGATTTCTCTGAAATTCAACTCAATATTATTGAAAATGCAGAATGGCGAAAAAATAGCCTACAAGTCGAGCTATATAGCCGAAGAAGAAAGATATTATCGAAATTTTACCAAAAATAGCAAAATTTCAATAATCATACCAAAATAAACTACGTCATAAAATAAATAACTTGCCAAAAATCTGGCTTAAATCAGATTCATAATCATCTCAGAAACGACAAATGGAATATTACAAAAAATGAAAAAAAACTAAAAACTAAAAATGGAAAATTGGAAGGGAAAACAGTGGATTTGGCCTTGAAAACAATGCGAAGCTTAGTGACCATGACGTGCTGTCGAAAAATACTTTCCGAATTGAGGTCATAATTGTGATTATGATAACCGTAGCCAAAGTTATGGCCAAATTACCAAAACGTATTCAAAACTGCCGCAATTAGGAAAAGATTGTGATCACTTGCCATCTTTGCGCCGATCTGCCAACTCATGGTATCTAAGTGTCGTCAACTTGCCATCTGACGACTTAGCAATGCTTGATTTGAACCCTCCTACATAAGTCGCCCCGAGTTGGAAAGAACTCGCCTCAAGTTCACAATAGTTTCATTGGAACCCACAAAACAAGGACTTAGGTGCTTCACTAGAAGTCTTCAAATGGCTGGGGAGACGCAGTCTGTAGGCATCATCATTGATCTTCTGCAGGACCTTACAAGGTCCAATCTTCTAATCCTTAAGCTTATTATACTCCCCAACAGGAAAACGATCACAGGTTAATATTGCCCAAACAAAATCACCATCATCAAAAAGCACCTGACGATGGTGACTATCGACCTAAGCCTTGTACTTGGCATTACTCTCTTGAATGGCCAGCTTCACTTATTCTTGGACACGCCGAAGATATTCTGCCATATCATCGGTCTAGTAACTAAAACGACCCATACGAGGGATAGGCGCTAAGTCAAGTACTCGGATGGATTTCGACTATAGACAATCTCAAATGGGCTCATTCCTATGGTTCTATTCTTTGACCTGTTATAGGCAAATTTTGTTAAGGTAATGTCAAATCTCAATGCTGTGGTTTAGTCCTTGTCAAACTTCTCAAAAGGTTTCCCAAAATTTGGTTCACCACCTCAATCTGACCATCTGTCTAGGAGTAGTATGCACTACTAAAATTCAATCACGTTTCCAATTTTTCTCATAAGCTTTTCCGAAAATGACTCATGAACTTGGTGTCACGATCAAAAGTAATTAATTAGAGAACACCATGTAAACGTACAATCTCCCTGAAATAAAGATGGGCGATCCAGATAACATCCATAGTTTCCCGATAAGCTATAAAATGAGCCATCTTGAAAAACCTGTCAACCACGACAAAAATAAAATCCATCGCCCCCTGGGTACGGGGTAAGTCCAATACAAAATTCATACTGACATCAATCCAAGGGGCTTTAGGTATAGGTAAAGGAGTGTACAGTCCCGCATTAGTGAGAGCTTCTTTGGACCGTTGACACACATAACAACACCCTACATAATGCGCTACGTCACTACTTAATTTGGGCCAATAATAGTCAGAAGAGATCAAAGCCAATGTATTTTCTCGTCCAAAGTGTCCCTTATTATGAAGTTCACTAATAATCTGTTACCTCAGTGAACAATCCAGAATGCACAACTATAATCCAAGAAACAGATAACCATTATGCAAAACAAAATCATATCGTTGATTATCGGTTACCTCTTGAATTATTTTCCCGAAAGAAGGATCTATAGTATACATATCAGGGAATGCCTCAAATCCTACAATTCTAGTGCTCATGGTGGTGAAGAGTAATGTGTGATGGCTGAATGTATCTGCGACACGATTCAGATTCCCAACTTGGTGCCTTAGTGCAAATGTGAACTCCTGCAAGTACGCCACCCACTTGGCATGCCATCTACTCAGCTTATGTTGACCATTGATATATTCAGGGCCTCATGATCAGTAACAAGAATGAACTCCCTCTGTACCGGGTAATAATGCCAATGCTTCAGAGACTGAACTATGACATATAACTCCAAGTCATAGGCAGGATAATTCTTCTTTGATCCTGATAACTTCTCACTAAAAAAGCTACTGGGTGCCCCCTCTTGACTTAGAATACCACCAATGCCAACCCAGATGCATCACAATTCACCTCAAACACATTGTCAAAAGTCAGGAAGTGCGAAAACTGGAGTCTTTGTCAACTTTTGCTTGACCAATTGGAAGCTGATCTCTGCATCCTTGGTCTACTAAAAATCGCATTCCTTGAGGCATTTTGTGATAGTGGCAATCAGAGTGCTAAAATTTCTGATAAACTGGCGCTAAAAGGACGTCAATCTATGGAAATATCTGACATCGTGCAAAGTCTTTGGCTTGGACCAATTCAAGATCGCCTCAATTTTTTATTGATCTGCATGATCACCATCAGTAGACTCAACAAAATACAAAAAAGTTATAGAAGCTGTGAAGAAAGAACACTTATTCTGATTGACAAATAGGCGCTCCGTCCTGAGCATATCAAAAACAACACGGAGGTGATCAAAATGTGATGTCGATTTCAAACTGTAAATAAAGCTATCATCAAAATAGACTACCACGACTTCCCTATGAAAGGCCATAAAACCTAATGCATAAACATCATGAAGATGCTAGACACAATTGATAGTTCAAAAGGCATGACCATCCACTCATACAACCCATGCTGCATCTTAAATGCCATCTTCCATTCATCTCTAGGCTTTTTTCTGATTTGGTGGTATCTGCTTTTAAGGTTAATTTTTGAGAAGATCTTAGAACCGGACAACTAATCTAACATATCATCCAAGCAGGAAATTGGAAACATGTACTTCATTGTAATCTTATTGATTGCTTTGCTATCAACACACGCTCCAAGACCAATCTTTCTTCGGCACTAGTAGAGTAGGAACTGTACATGGACTTGTACTCTCACGGATATAGCCCCTCTCCAACAATTCTAGTAACTCTTCAGCTTCCTTGGATTGAGGTGATGTGCTGGTCGATTAGGCAAACTCGATCTCGAAATAAGGTAGATCTAATGTTGAATATCCCTCATAGGCAATAACCCCGGAGGGAGATCCTTTGGCATCAGGTCAGACAACTCCGTTAGCAGCTGTTGTACCTTTGATGGTAAGTCTGGACCCTTGTCTATTATACTATTCTCACGAGGTAGTAAAGCATAGACTACCTTGACATAGAAAGCAGATTGGTATTATTGACTATTGGGGTAGGGGTGATTTCCTCCATGCACCCGCCAACACAATCGTCTTCTCTTTGATGCTAAGAGAATATGTATTTTTCTGCCCATCATGAATAACACTGCGATCATACTGCTAAGATTGGCCCAACAATATATGACAAGCATCCATAGACAAGACATCACACCAGGCATTATCAAAATTTTTACTCCCAATCGAAAAAGACACTCGACATCGTCTTTCTACTGTTACCTCACTGTCTTTTATTCGCCATGATAATTTATATGGTTTGGGATGACGATCTGTCTTCAGTTACAATTTTTGGACAGTCTCTTCGGATACTACGTTCTCACAACTGCCATTGTTAATGATCATCTTGCAAACCTTATTTACAATTGTGTAGGTGTTTAGAAAAATTGGTCATCAACCAATCGTCTTTCGAATCACCCTTGGAAGTCAGCAGACTTTTGCGAATGACTAGAGTCTCCTGGCCACTCTATACAGCATGCCTTCATCTTCATCATCATCATTATCATCATATATAGGTTCTCCGATCTCCTCGAATTTGCCTCCACATCTTCCTCAATCAGGAGATTTTTACTCTTCTGACAAGTCGACTTTTTGCAATCAATCGCTTTATGCCCCTGTTCACCACATCTGAAACATTTAATATTTGAGTTAGAATTGTCCCGTGGTTACTGATAGGCAGGACGAGATTTTTGAGGACTAACTGGCTGACTATTTTCGCTCCTGACCACTAGCCTCCTATTCTGCTGCTTTTCCACAGGAAGTGCACGCTGGTATGCTTAAAAAACAATCCACAGAAACTCTGAGGACATCATGCAGAGGCTGTCGTAATTTCCCAAATACTATGCCACCATCTGCTCTTCGATCTCAGATAAATCATTGCGGGCTACCAATTGGTAGAACTCCTCCATATAATCATCAATTGGTCTCATGCATTGCCTTAGTGAATGGAGCCGCTGAAACAAAGTTTGAGTATAGCCGAACGGAAGGAAGTATTCTTTCATCTTCTCCCAATCAGTGATTTTTGTTTTGGGTCCGCCGCTCTCGTTAACACCTTAACTGCTCCGACCATGCAGATGCTCTATCTTTGAGTTTGATAGCGACCAGTTTCACCTAGACACGATCTGGGACCTCCTTATACTAAAAAATATGCTTTACTTCATTCAACCAATCAATAAGTCGTTCGGCCTATAACGTACCAGAAAACTCGGGCAGATCCATTTTGAAATTGAGGCCTCCATGGTGATCCTTCCGTCCACGGTACTCCCAGTCTCAAGCATGATTGTGATATGAGTTTTCGAGACTAGCATCGAAATCGTGACCCTTCACTTCATGATTATTAAAATCCTGTTCTACTAGACGTTGGGTTAACTTCACAACCTGCCTCCACAAATCCTCAATCATCACATGCTGAAAGTTATGATCATGGTGTGGGACTTTCTCAATCAGAACCTGCCCGCAATGACCACGACCACGTCCACCAACCATTGAGGCTGATGGAAACTTACCGGAAGATGCAAACGCTCTGATACCAACTGACACCGGGCAAGATAGTGATTATCTCATAGACTAGTTACCACAGATGATTCACAGTAGAAATACAAATGAAATGCCCAAACAATAGAGAGATTTCTCTAAAATTTAACTCTATATTATTCAAAATGCATAATGGTAAAAAACAGCCCACAAGTCGGGCTATATAGTTGAAGAAGAACGATATTATCGAAATTTTAGCAAAAATAGCAAAAAGTTTCAATAACCATACCAAAATAAGCTACGTAATAAAAAAAAGTAACTTGCCAAAAATCTTGTTTAAATCGGATTCATAATCATCTCAAAAATGACTGACGAAATATTACAAAAAATGTAAATAATTAAAAATGGGAATTCAGAAGGGAAAACAGTGAATGTTGGCCTCGAAAATGACGCTCGGTGACCACGACGTGCGCGTCGAAAAAGAGCTTTTCGAATTGGAGCCATAATCACGATTTTGATAATCGTGCCAAGTTATGACCAAATTACCAAAACATGATCAAAACTGTCCCAATTAGAAAAAGATTGCGATTACTTGTCATCTTTGCACCGATCAGGCAACTCGTGGTACTTGGCACCATTAGTGTACTATCTGACAACTCAGTATCGCTTAATTTGAACCCTCCTACATTGTGAAATTATTTTATTTAAAAATATATACTATAAGCAAAACATGCTCCCAAATAGTATGCTTTTGCTCTGACTAGATAATCTTACCAAGTTGGTAAGATTTAAAAGGTGTTTTACACTGGAAACCACAACTTTCAATTATTTTGATTTCCCATTAGTCTAAATACTGATAAAATTATCAAACCACTATATGTGCTGACAACCTCCATTGCTCCTTTATTTCAACTAGTTGGCTAGGTTTTGCTCACTAAAATGAAAATGTGATTGAAAAAGTCAACATCACACCCCCAAACCCATCTTTGCTCTTTTTCATTTTCAATTAAAACATTGAGAATGACATGTTTCGCGAATGGAAAAAGTCACTTGTACACTATGGTGTATAACCCCCTCACATGTTGAGGGTGCCCACGTAAATAAAATGATTGTGTTCTCTTTTTTATTTTCAATTAAACCACTCTCAATGACATGTTTTGCAAATGGAAAAAATCACTTTTACACCATGGTATACAGCCCCCTCAATATACGAGGGGCCCACATAAATAAAATAATTGCGGCCCACTCATTGTGAGGGGATATAAGGTGTACAGCTTTTTAACACCAAGCAAAATTGTTCACCAATGATGAAAATAGTACATAATACAGAATTAGGAAAAGACTTGATTTGACCTCTTGCTATTAAAGTATAATAGAAGTAAAACTTTGCTATTGGGGGAATACATTCACGCATCTTTGCCATACCATGAAGCATGTTTGGGAGTTGCTTATATCTATACGAATAAATTATAGATGAAAATAAGTGAAGAATAAGTGGATAGTAGATGTGGATATCATGGTATATGTGAATAAAAAGTTATTTAATCGATTATAAATTATGCCAAACCAGGACTCACGTTTTCACGATTCATGATCGCTTTACAATTCGTTACTATAAAGGGATTGTAAATTTATGAAAAATTGCAACAAAGATCCCTAATTTTTTTATTTTTTGCAGACTTTACCTTAATCTTCATTTTGTGCAAGCAAAAGTCTTTAACCTTTTATAAATATGCTTATGAGGTCCATCTGGATAGAAACCGTCCAAAACACCAACAGTTGATCGGAAAGATTCCTCGAATTATCTGCTACCGCAACGATTTTTATTGGACGTTGATACTTTTTGGACAGTGTTTTTGGATGATAGTTTGGACAATTTTATTGGATGTTAATTCCTTAATTTTTTTCGGTCAAGTAACAGTGTTTTGGATGGTTTCCGTTCAGATGAATCTTGAGTGCATATTTATGAAACGGTTAGGGACCGCTGCTGTAATTTTCCCGTAAATTTATTATTGTACCAACAATTTATAAACAACCATTATTTTTCTTAGTGCAGTTTGATTGTGGCAATGTGGTGCACTATTTTTTTTTTAATTTTTTAATTTTGGACAAAAACCATCAACGAAAATGAAAGTCAATCGAAATAGATAGTTGATGAATCACATTTCCCCTTGTGTTTATATAGGGGTATATTTGAACGAAATCCACTAAGACTGCTCGCCAACACAAAGTCGGGATTTTATGACTAAACTCACATATGAAATGTTTGGAAAAAATAGTTGATGAATAAGTCCCTGTTTGACAACCATCAACACGTAGATGCATGGGATTGCAAGCAATAGAGCGATGACACGTGTTGCAGGACAACTCATAAAAATTTTTTTTTTTTTTTTTTTTTGGAAAAATTTTTTTTTAAAAAATTTTTTTTTTTTTTTTTTTTTTTTTTTTTTTTGAAGAATGTGATGCTAAAGAGTAGAAAATTTTTATGTTTACGCGCATAATGTCCTATTGTGAGAATATGGTTGAAAATGAATTTAAAAAAAAAAATGTTTGTTTTAATGGTTATTAAATAGGGACTAAATTGGAGGTCCACAAGTTATGCAGACAAAAATTTACATAACGATGATCCCGCAACGTATATGCTAGATATATTGAAAATTCTTCACTTATTTGATTTTGTAAGCTGACTAGTCAATTTTAATTCACACAATTCAGTAAATCCTGACTTACAAAATAGATCTTTTTTTCCCCAAACACAATAATACTTTCGTCCCACAAAGGGGAGGAATATAAGCCATACATAGCATAGAATATCACATAGTGCCTATTTATTCGCTTTGATTTCTTGAAAAGTAAAATTTAGCAAAAATAAATGATAACAGATAGAGGAGCAAAAGGCAGGAGTGCTTGGGATTTGTTGGGAGCAACAGACAAGGCATTAAATAGGACGGCAGAGAAGGAGAATGATGGGAATTTCTGAATGCATGCAGAAGGGGATGAT